TAATTTTTAAATGTTTTAAACTGCTACATATATGGTGAAAAAAATAATATTTCTCTTATTTTTTATAGGATGATTTGAAGAGTAAACTTAAAGAAGCAGGCAATAATTTAGTAGTTATTGATTTTTTTGCTGTATGGTGTGGACCATGCAAGATGATTGGACCACTAATTGAAGAATTGTCAAAGGTTTGATCACATTCATTTTTATTCAAATTTAAAAAAAAATTTAAATTAATGTAAATATCTTTTCATATAGGAAATGCAGGATGTTCTTTTTCTTAAAGTTGATGTAGATGAATGTGAAGATATTGCTGCTGAATATGAAATATCCAGTATGCCTACATTTGTTTTTATAAAAGAAGGCAAAGTGGTATGTATTAAACTCCAAAATGATTTAAATATTTAAACTTCCATATTAATATTGGAAATAAAACAATTGTCAATAATTAAATAATTTTTTTTCCAGTTGGAGACATTTTCTGGTGCAAATTATGATAAATTGAAAAATACCGTTCAGAAACACAAATAAATACTACACAATGGTTATTTAGATATTGTTTTTTTAAAAATAAATAATGCTGAATTAGCACTATCTTAGATACAATATTGAACAGCTATATAATATATACAATATTGAATAGCTATATAGTATATTATATTATATTATATATATATATATATATATATATATATATATATATATATATATAGCAAATTTTGCATTGCGTATATCAAGAAAAACCAAACTGATTTTTATTCTATAAAATAAATACATTTTATTATAGGTATCAATTTTGTTCTTGTGAAAAAATGTAATAAACGTATAAAATATAATTATTTATCAATAGAGAATCGTATTATCTATTTTTACATGTATAATGATGGTAATACAGAGAATGCTCCAGTTCCAGATTTGCATGGTTGTCCTAACATCAGTCTACTTGAAGGTGATAATATATCGTCCTTTTTTCCTGTAAATGAAATTTTATTTAATTTTATATTATTACAGTAATCTTAATTTTACATCTAATTATAAAATTCATTACCTTGCAATGTTGCACTTTTCAAAAAAGCTAACGAGCTTTCAAAACTTATTTGTTGTAATGGTGAGGCAGAATTTTCCATTCCTTTCCGACTAAGTGGTTGGAATGTTCCATCAAATGTCATATAATCAGCGATTAAGGATAGATGTCTACAGTCTACAGTAATACCATACATCTTAAAGATATCCCTCACTTCCCTTACAATAACTTTATTTGCAGCTTCAATTCCGTATGTTAAAGAAATATTATAGATATCATTAGAATATAACCTATTTAAATTAAGTATTTTATCATATTTGAACATCTCCTGTAAAAGAAATATGAAATATATAAAGATAAAATACAAAAGTAAAAAGTATGTTTTTTTAAATTTTTAAATTGATAAACGTCCACTTACTACTATATTTAAACCATCTGTTTTGAGAATTGTTTCATTTTCACTATTTTGAAAAGTAAAAGCTTTCTTGATATGTGGTATTTCGCATAAAACAGTTTTGTCTGCAGCATTTTTAATTATTGTTGGCAAATCTAATTTAATCATTTTAAGTGGTAACTGTAAAAAATTAACATATATATATTATTTATTTATGTAGAACTTTTATACATACATACATTTACAGGGTGACTCATTTTAATCCATTCAGTCGAATATCTCGAAAACCAAGCCCGGGAGGGAAAAATGTTTCAGACAAAAGCTGTATGGTTTCGAGGAGGACATAAGATGGTACCATTGGTTTGACCTTGAAGAGTTATTTGAAGGTCACTTTCAATTGGTATAAAAAAACACATAGTTGTTTCAAAGAAAAAATATGTAATTGTTAATTGCAAATTACATATTTTTTCTTAAAAAACTATGTGTTTTCTTTACACCAATTGATTCCTCTCATTATTTTGTACATAAAAGTATTAAGGCAAGATAATCGAAAAATGAATATTTTACAAGATATTTTATGGTTTATGTAAAATTAAGAAATGATTTCAAGCCTCATAATTCGAAAAGTATTTCATGGAAAAATAATTTATTATAGTGTTTTGGAAAGCTCTCGAGATAAGCTACAAGAATATGTAATGAGAAAATGTAGGTTCCATTTAAGAAATTGAAGATGAACTTCACGTGACCTTCAAATGATTCTTCAAGGTCAAACCAATGGTACCATCTTATGGCCCCCTCGAAACCAAACAACTTTTGTCTGAAACATTTTTCTCTCCTGGTTTTCGATATTCGACTGGATGAATTAAAATGGGTCACCCTGTACACACAGAGAGAGAGAGAGAGAGAGAGAGAGAGGAGGAGAGAAAAAAAAAAAAAAAAAAAAGAGAGCGAGAGAGAGTATACAAAAAGTATGGAACCCCCTGAATAACTTGAAGAGATTTCATTTTAGAGGAAAATGTTAAGTACAAAAGTTGTAGGGCTCTAAAATAGCTATTTACTAGTCTTATCAGTAGGATCATAAGTGGCGTTGCCAAGATTACATGAAAGTCATCTTGAATTTTTTAAATAGAAACCCTTATTTCTTATTACATATTCTTGTAGTTTATCTCGAAAGCTTTCCAAAACACTATAATTAAGTTAAATTAAGTAATTTGCAATTGATAGTTACATATTTTTTTTAAAAACAACTGTTTTCCTTGTACCAATTGATTCCTCTCATTATTTTGAGCATAAAAATATTGAGGTAAGATCATCGAAAAATGAATATTTTACGATATTTTATAAATTATATTTAAAATTAAGAAATTACTTCGAGTCTTATAACTTGAAAAGTATTTAATGAAAAATAACTTAATTAATAGTAATAGTGTTTTGGAAAACTCTCGAGATAAACTATAGGAATATGTAATAAAAAATACAGGTTTCCATTAAAAAAATTCAACCTTGATAACATCACCTGTGGTCATGCTGATAAGACTAGTAAATAGAGATTTTAGAACTCTACAACTTTTATATTTAATTTTTCTCTAAAATGAAATCTCTACAATTATTGAAGGGATCCCATACTTTTCGTATATATATACAGGGTATAGCTTCGAAAGCTTCCACAGTGCTATTCGTGATTAAATTCCTGATTAAAAATCGAGTCGAAAAGTCCTGAACTATTTTTTTCTATAATGCTTAATAAAATAGTAATTATTGAGTAAAGTCGCGCCAATCAGCACCAATCTTTAGCCGGGCGCACGTCAGTGAGCCGCGCGCCTGGTAGTGTGCGCTCACGAACACTGATACAAAGTATAAAATTTGTAACAATAAATTTTTGTCACTTACCCAAAATGTGAATTTACACCATGATAATTTACTTTCGTCATAATCATAATCAGTAGCATACAAATATGAATCTAGGACACATTTTTTTCTGTTATATTTGTCATTTTTTCTGTTATCTAATTTCTCCTTAGTATAGTCATCCTCTTCATTATCTTCTGTATTTTCCAAGTTTTTATTTATATTATTATTATCTGCTTCTTCCTCTTTATAATTTGTGATATCTTCCACTTCTTCTTCTGAATCTTCATATTCTTGATTTTCTTGATGACGCGATAGGGATCTACTCATCGTCGCATCAGCATCCTCTGCAATTTCTTCCTCATCGGATGATTCATGCATCTCTCCTAAATCCATCTGCATTCTTCGTCCAGTATTTTCCGACATTATGTCATCAGGATCAAATTGATCTAGTGCATCGTCATTGCTTGCCTGTCTTTTTTCTCCTTCGTAATGCAATAAAACTTTGCTTGCTTTAGTAAGTTTTTCGATTTCTTTAAATATATTCTTGAAAAAAAATTTCTCAGTACGCTTAATTACATCTTGTCGATGAATGGAAAACTCATTTTTATAAGATTTGTAAGGAAGATATTCGATCATTATAGTGTACACTAATTTTCTATATGGACTTTTTTCTATTGTTCTACTTACTGTAATATCTTTCAATACATCACGCAGGACACATTTTGTTAATTTTAATCTTAGTTTCTTTGCTTGCTTTTCAAGATTTTGCAGATTGTTCTGGAAAGGTATTTCCATACTTGGAGTCTTTATATTCTTTGATGCTATCATTAAAATTTCACGCAATCTAGGAATACCTAGAGTCACGTTCATGTCACCACGTCCAGAAAAATGAAATGTATTTAAGGTCATTTGAGTGGATGGTTCGCCTATAGATTGTGCTGCTAACAAACCAACTGGTTCACCAGGTGGACAAATGCTTTTCATAATTTTGATGGATAACAAATCTCTTAGGATGGATTTTTTAATTTTTGGAGAATGAAAAACATATTCGTCTATTAAACCTTCTATTCGTTCTGGTAATACACCAAATTCAATATCTTGTCTATATTTTGATGTTACTGGATCGGGACATTTAGCACATTGTGCGCGAAATGTCTCTTTCACTTCTTCCTTCGTTCTTATCCATTTTCGCATAAGAGATAATGCAGCTTTACTTCTTCCATTAGACTTATCAATGCTTCTTTTTTCTTTTAAGTTATTCTGATTCTCAATAGAAAATCTCGTAAATTCACTAATTCTCTTCTTTTTCAAAGAAGAACCATTTTTATCTTCCCATTTTTTAATCTTTTTTATCATTTTTCTAATCTTTTTGTTATCTGTTTTTAGATATTCCAATAATTTTGTATCTATAATAGCATCTTTATTATCGGCTAAAAATGCCATTTGTTCTTTTCTTAAGAATCGTGAACCCGGTATATCGAGGCCATCCTCTCCATAATAAAATTGAATTAAACTACCATCATAATCTCTAACTGTCGCATCATAACCGATAACTAATCCTTCCAGATGCTTCACAAGGCATCTTTGTAAATATCCGGATCTACTAGTTTTGACTGCAGTATCAACAAGACCTTCACGTCCTGCCATGCAATGGAAAAAACATTCCTGAGACTTAATTCCAGTCATAAATCTACTATCGATAAAACCGCCAGCTCTAGGTGTCGGATCATACGCTGAGAAACTTGATAAACTTTTTCCACTGATCATTAATGGTGGCCTTTTACCTTCCAATTCACTTTGACCAAGCAAACACGATATTTGCATAGTATTAACCATGGATCCTTTTGCGCCAGATTGTACCATAAGCTGTAAATTATTCTTGGGAAATTTCTTAAAAAGTCCTAGCTGTAGACACGTTCTATTAATATCATTAGTGTAAACGTCTAATACACTCTTATATTTATGGTCGACTTGTGCACGAAATTTCGAATTATGCCAATAAAATTCTTCCACCTTGTCTTTAAATTCATCCATAGATACTTCATTAGATACTTTTATGATAGATTTTTGTACATCTTCTCCGATTTTTCGACAATCAAGAATTAATTCTTTACGTTTTTTGTCAATTTTATGAGTTATTAGAATATCTTCAACACCCAGAGTAAATCCATTGTATCGTAAAAAGGTTTGGAACAATTTTGCAAATGCGCTTAATATTTTACTTGCATACATTTCCCCATATAGCTCATAAATACAATGAATAAGACCATAAGAAGTCGCACCATAGTGCATTTTATCAAGCACTCCACATAGTAATTCTCCATGTCGAATTACAACTTCAGCTTCTGACATAATTATTGGATTTTTAAATTCTACTCCACATTTCCAACGTCGTGGTGTTTCCACTTGCCATTCTTTTACATTAATCTTTGCATTAGAAATTAGATTAATTCGTGTCTTATCCGAAGGAATAATATTAATTATAACAGTTGAAAGAACTTGTTTACCTGACCATAGAGGCTTTGGTTTGATAATAGTTGGTGGTAAGAGAATTACATCTCCTTGTACCATCGAGAGTGCAGTATAAACTAATTGTGTATAATGCGTTTGTGAGAAAAATTGACCCCTAGTTGTTAATTGTACTCCGGCTATTATGTAATCTTGTATAAGACCACTTAACGGAGTTCCGTCTTTTGGTACGAGATATTGATTGCACACATTAGCTATATTATAACCCTCACTTCTAGCTAGTTCGTTTTGCGGAAAATGAGCGTTCATCTCATCGCCATCAAAATCCGCATTATACGCCTTACAGTTTGCATAATGAAGATGCAATGTCTTTTCTCCTTTCAGAACACGTGCTTTATGAGCCATTATACTCGGTTTATGTAACGTTGGTTGTCTATTTAATAACAACACATCGCCATTTTGAAGATGTCGATGTACTATTTTGATGCCAGTGAAGGATTCGTTGGTTTTGTCATTTGTTGTCAAAAGACGCTTAGCAATAGCTTCTCTTTGCATAGAATCGTTACTGTTAATCGCCTGTACCGATCCATCTTCATTTTCTATTATAACCGCTCCAGGATGAACATCGGGTCCATTTAAAACTAATCGTCGCAATTCAACGACGTTCCACGGTGTTACAGTTGTAGGATAAGTTAATTTTCGAGCGAAAGCTTCGGGAATGCCGATTTCATCGATATTTAAGTCAGGATCTGGAGTGATGACCGAACGTGCAGCAAAATTCACTCTTTTACCCATCATGTGCATTCTAATAATACCTTCTTTCTTCTCAAGAATTTGTTTCAAGCCTAAACCATTGATAGATTCTGGAGTCCTATTTATGTCGCGATCCATCAGATGATCAATATTGCTTTGCAAGGTTTGCCAGGCGTTGTGTAGCTTTTCGACCGTTGTATTTCCTCTTATTTGTTCAAAGACAAGTCGACTCGCTTGAGGTAAATGATCAATACTTCCATCTTGAATCGTTTGTATAATATTTCTTAAGATCAAACAATCTTGTATGATGTTCTTATAGATGTAAGTTTGAGGATGTTCGATCATTTGACCATTAATAAAGTTCACTGGTCGCACAATGGGCGGTAGCACGGGTATTACTTCGAAAAAAAATATATCAGTTGGATATTCAATATCCACTAATTCTAAGCAGGGTATAATTATCTGAAAAAAATCCTTTTCATTATTCCATAATTGTCGTAGATATTCCTTAGACTGATTTGGCATAATCATCACTGTATGTAATTTATGAATCACTTCATGTGACAATATTTCCTTGGAGACTCCTCCTTTATTTCTTATCATTATTTTATTTTGTAACGTTGAAATTTTTGGTAAAACATTATTACAATTCCTACATTTTCCAACTTTATTTCTGACATATTCTTTAAGTACATTTTTAACATAGATATGCCATTGTGTATTGATATTCTTCATGTTGCTTTTATGCTCATGACTTTCAATCATAGACTGACTGAGTCTGGTTCTGTTAAAAAAGTTTTGCATATAAGTATCAATTATATCACAAATATATTGAGTTTGTTTTTCTTTATCTTTTTCATTAGATTTGACATATGTTATCTCTTGATCTAAAATTTCAAGATCAGCAAGTTGCCCTTGATAAAGTAACTTTAATTTTGCAGCAAGTAATGTCTTGATATCTGGTGGTATTTGAAAAGTAAAACAATTTAAGCACGACAATTTGAACAATGTGGCTAATTCTCTATGAAATAATGGATTGACAACAGGTACCGGCAATTCTATGTGTCCAAAGTGACCTGGACATTTGAAGCTATTATATCCACATGTGCTGCATAGTTCAAAATTCTTTGTTGTGCCTATAATAAATTGAACATATTAAATTATATTAAATATATATTAAAATGTAATACAGATTTTTTTCTATTTTATGTATTTGAATTATTATATATCTATATATATATATATATATATATATATATATATATGAATTTCTCATATACCAAGTAATCCTCAAATCTACTCAAACTAGATTTCAAGTTATTAATAAATTTGAGAGCAGACAATGTAATCTGTCATCGACCATCTGTAATTATATTATTATCAGAATCATTTATAACTATAAAATCATCTTTTAAGATCAATAAGACTTGTATACTTAAATCATTTATATGTACTCATGATAAAAGCAAATTACAATAATTTTTACTTTTTAAATTTTTATTGTTTGTATCACTTGGCATCTGAGCCACTCATATATTAAATTTAATGGCATTGTATATAAGTTAATAAGAGTTTTCTTAGAGAAAATATATAAAAACTAACTTTTTACTACTTGGATAATATAAATTAATAAAATATAAAAAAAAAAAACTAATAATATAAATAGAATTTATAATGAATAAAAAAACAGGAATTCTTATTATAAAATATTAAATTATGATTGTAATGAAATATATATTGAGATTAATATGTAAATAAATATTAAAATCAATTAATAAATAAAATGTATCATTTTTTTTCTATGAGGTATAAGTTGTTCAATTTTATCTAAAAATTGAAATATAGTATTTGAAAAATTAAGCAAATCATAATTAGAATTGTTACAAAATGTCACCATAAAAAATAGAAAAATAGAAAATATTATATAAAGAAATAAATAATTACATAATGGTATAATTTATAATATCATCTTTTATAAAATGTATTAAAATAAAATATTTTACCTAAAGATGGATCATATAATCCACCTTTTAGTGGATGTCCAAGTATATTAAAAGATAAAGATGTTCTTATTTTTGTTACACTTAAATTCCTTATGTCATTTGCTGTGAACATTGAGAATAATAAATGATGAGAGTCTTGATGTTTTGGTGTTAGACGTTGCTTATATTTCCCCATCATCTCTCTCTTAATATTTAGCTCTCACAAGTCTGCAATATTGAATAATATAATAAACTGCTTGCTATAAAATATTATGAGAAAACATTGTTTGTTAATATAAAGAATATTGCTAAATATGCTTAAAAATTAACTACGAAACTTGAAAACAAATTTCTTTTAAGGAACACTTTTTATAATTTTCAAAATTTCAGTGATAGAATTATCAAAACTGCTTGATGAATGGTTGATTTAATTTGACATGCTCTACTTAAATTTGAGTAAAAACTATACTTAATCAGTGTCTTTTTAATAAACACACAAAAAAAGTAAAAATTGCTTGATAATATAAAAAGAAGTATTAAATGTTAAAAATGCTACTTGTGAAAATTAGGAAATGTCATCGATGGAATATTGACAATATGTGCTGTATTGAAAAAGTATGAAATTTCAATAAAAAAATAGTCACTTCTACACATTTACTGTTTATTATTTATTAAATCCATGCAAAGTTGATCACCTGATGATTTGAGATCACTTGAGATCACGTGAGACCACAAGATCTATAATTATATATATATATATATATATATATATATATATATATATATATATATAGTTTATGAAATATTCAACCGGACTTTTGGGACACCCTATATATATATATACACACACACACACACACACACACACACACAGGGTGTCCCAAAAGTCCCGGACCGGTTGAATATTTCATAAACTATGCACTTTAGAAAGAAATGTTTCAGACAAATGTTGTATGGCTTGAAGGGGGCCATCAGATAGTGACAATGATTTGACTTTGGAGAGTCATTTGAAGATGACATAAAGAGCACCTTCAATTTCTTAAATGGAACCCCCTATTTTTTATTACATATTCGTGTAGCTTATCTCGAGAGCTTTCCAAAACACTATAATAAAGTATTTCTTCATTGAATACTTTTCAAGTTTTCAAGAGGCTTGAAATCATTTCTTAATTTTGCATAAACCATAAAATATCTAGTAAAATATTCATTTTTCGATTATCTTACCTTAATACTTTTATGTACAAAATAATGAGGAATCAATTGGTGTAAAGAAAACACATAGTTGTTTTAAAAAAAATATGTAATTGTTAATTGCAAATTACATATTTTTTTCTTAAAAACAACTATGTTTTTTCTTTACACCAATTGATTCCTCTCTTTATTTTGTACATAAAAGTATTAAGGTAAGAAGATAATCGAAAAATGAATATTTTACAAAATATTTTACGGTTTATGTAAAATTAAGAAATGATTTCAAGCCTCATAATTCGGAAAATACTTAATGAAAACTAACTTAATTATAGTGTTTTGGAAAGTTGTCGACGTGAGCTACCAGAATATTTAATAAAAAATAGGGAATTCCATTTAAGAAATTGACGGTGATCTTCACATGACTTTCAAATGACTCTCCCATGTCAAATCATTACCACTATCTGATGGCCCCCTTCAAGCCATACAACTTTTGTCTGAAATATTTCTTTCTAAAGTGCATAGTTTATGAAATATTCGACCTGTCCAGGACTTTTGGGACACCCTGTGTGTATGTATATGTGTGTGTGCGTGTGTGTGTCTGAAAGCATCAATTGATATGGGTGGATCTCGGTTCATATAAAAAATTACAAATCTATGTATAATTGTAAACCTCATCGCATTTGTATCACTTTACATAGAAAGGTATAAACTTATGTGAATTATATAATTATAGATTTGTTGCATTAAAATCATTAAGTGGTACAAACTTTATTTTACTAAATAATAAACAATAAATAACAAAAAATAAATAGTAAATGCATGGACAAGTATCTATTTTTATTCAAATAGTGTATCTTTTCACTGCAGTATATGTTAATATCGCTGGTATTCTATTAATGACAAATTTCGTAATTCTCACAAGTGGCATCTTAATGGCTTTTTTATATTGTCATCATTGTTTATATCAAGCGATATTTAGTTTTCAAACCATTGTTTTAATGCAAATACGTATGAATTGAGTGTATGTTTATTAAAATTTAAGTAGAATGGATCGAACTAAAAATTTATTCACATATTATAATGATCAAATAAATAAAATTAATAAAAAAATAATGATAGCTTTTATTATTGAACTTGACATTTATTTTATATTTAATTTAATCTTGTGCGCAAAATAGCATGCACTAAAGTGCGCCTAAATATAATGTAAAAACGAAAACAAAACCTAATCTAACCTATAATCTATATATTATAATATAAAAATAACCTAAAAAGTAGTTGCATATATAATTTAAAAAAATTAAAAAATGTAAATAAAATAATGCGCAATATTAATTACATTAATTGCGTGTAATGTAATAAAAAGAAAAATTTACTTGTAGGCAATATTTAATATTTGCTCACCTAATTTATTAACTTCTAAAGGGTACGTCCCATTTCACGCATGATGTGCATAGAGATCTATGATCAAAGATGCGCCAATGGGCCTGTTCTTTTTAGCTGCACTACTGCACTAGTGCAATTAGTTAGAATGAAAGAAAGTATGTTTGTCTCTTTCCAACTTACTGCACTAGTGCAGCAGTGCAACTAAAAAGAACAAACCCAATGACTCTCCACTACGATTTCTATCCGCCATCTTGTACCCTATGACGTCATTAACGTCACATGTGGACTAAAATTCCAAAATTCACTGCCAGTACTAAAAATCTATAGTTTATAAGACGTACACTATAGATTTTCAATACTGACAGTGAATTTTGGAACACAGCCGTGCTTGTGTTTCGAGTCTAATCATATAGTGCGTTCGAAAATATGTTTGGTTGGTGTTGGGAAAAAAAAATAAAGTTGGCAGTATTGAAAACTCCTAGTGCTGCGTTTCGTTTCTTCCACTCGGATCACTAGGATTAAGGTCCAGTTCCACAATCCAGTTAATCCGAGTTTAAGTAGCAAATGGACCAATCAGGACCCAGTTTAACGTATTAAACTTAGAGAACCTCTAGGAGAGAGAATGGACAACTGATCAAGCTTTTTTATGATTGGCTGGCAGAAAATGTATCAATTTTAGCTATTGCGACGCCAATGCAAAATATGATGACACACAAATAGGACACACATGACACACATATATTAACCTATTTGTGTGTCATCATATTTTGCATTGGCGTCGCAATAGCTAAAATTGATACATTTTCTGCCAGCCAATCATGAAAAAGCTTGATCACATGTCACATGATCAGTTGTCCATTCTCTCTCCTAGAGGTTCTCTAATTAAACTCGGATTAACTCGAGTTGTGGAACCGGGCCTAAAAAAATTTGCTACTTGAGATATTAAAAGAGGTAAATAAGTAATTAAATATATTTTATAATAATATATTTAATAACATCACATATATTATTATTAATACGAACGTGTGTTTTGTATTAATAATGCTATAATTATAATAAAGTGACATAATTTACCTAAAATGTGATTTAAATTCAATATTTGTATATCTGGTAACAACATTTTCCAAATAATCTGTTATTTTTGGTACTATTTTCCTTTCACCTCTATTGTTATTACCTCTATTTTCGAATAAAATATTTTGTAATTCTTCATTATTATCATCACTATTTGAAGAAGAACTACTCGAAGATTCAAAAATGATGTTTTCGAGTAAAATATATTGTTCCATAATAATAATTAGTGTAATTGCAACACTTTCATATATTGTACATACGATACAATACAATCCTAATGATCCCAGTGGGAGAAACGAAACGCAGCACTGGGAGTTTTTAATACTGCCAACTTTATTTTTTTTCCCAACACTGACCAAACATATTTTTGAACGCACTAATACTGTAACCTAACGAGTTTGCTATACGAAGGATTTAATTGAACTTATAATATTACATAATACACGAAAAAACAAAATCTTACTCAGATTTAACACGAGCAACAATTAGGCCGAGTCTACAATAGACAATTTAAGATCTAAGCCTTAAGAAATTGACCAATCACAGTCGAGTATTCTCTTCATACTTGACTGTGATTGGTCAATCTTTTAAGACTTAAGGACTTAGGGCTACTGCACAGGACGCGGCAACGCCTTCCGCGCGGCGGAAGCTGACAATAGCCAATCAGCAGATACATAACATCCACTGCACATCAAAAGGTTTGTTCGCGTCGCTAATACTCCAATACGCTCCAATACGTTCGCGTCTCCGGAACTAATATGGCGACTAGGTGTTTGCGTCGCGATAGAACATACTCTAAAGCCGAATCTACATTGGCCACATTCAGTTGGACAACATTACTAGATTTTCCGATGTAACTCGACGCTGACTGGTTGGACCTGAAAATAGAGACCAATCATATTCTATTGCTACTTGCTTAGCGATTGAGTCCTCTGAATACGGCCATTGGTCGTATCATAACGTCGCAAGTCGTAAGTCGTAGACAAATTAACCAATCATAGTTGATTATTTTTGAAATAATCGACTATGGTTGGTCGATTTGCCTACGACTTACGATTATATAATACATAGTTGATTATTTCAAAAATAATCAATCAATCATGATTGATTATTTTTGAAATAATTGATTATGGTTGGTCAATTTGCCTACGACTTGCGACATTACGATACGACCAATGTAGATTCGGCTTAAGGCTCTTTTTTAAAACATGGAATAAAGAAGTTACAAAATTTAAAAAAACTAATGATAGTGCGTTGAAGTTGAAATTTTCAGCTTCAAAATGCTCCTTTTATTTTTTTATTATTTTATTTTTTACGATAATTTTTCGCCGAGTATTGACATCAGATTTAAAAATACTGGTTTATTTTCAAAATTACACACACACACGGTCAAAAAAATCATAGAAAAAGTTTTAAAAAAGTTTTTTGCAGGAAAAATGTAATTTATGAAACTTGAATTGAATTTTTTGAAAAAAATTTTTTTTATCGAATTGTAGCGTGTTAAAAATAAATAATTTTAAAGAATTAAACAGTGTGTTCCTTTTTAAAGCGCAGCAAGATAAAAAAATTTTTTTAAACTACCAACAGTGCAACAAAGTTGAAACTTTAAGTTTTAAAACGCTTTTTTAATTTTTTGTCTACGATAATTTTTCGATGAGTTTCAGCGATTTGAAGATAGCCTAATTTTTAGGGTATAAAAAGTGTTCCCTATTTTATTTTTGAGTAGTGTATTTCTTTTTTTTAATCAGTTTAATTTGTGATAAATTGACTTAACTTAAAGTAATTTGTTTAATAATTTAGATCCCTTGTGTTAGGATCCAAAATATATCATATTAAACAGATTATTTAAAATTGAACGGGTAAATAGTCCATTTATTTTATGTTATTGAAGTATTCCTATTGCTGAGTATACATAAAAATAATTGTATATAAATTATCAAGGCATATTAATAAGAAACATTTAATAAAAACACTAATAGACATTTTTTTAAACATAATATAAAGCAGTTAATAGATCTTTAAATAAACGTTTTATAGAGATCTAATTTGAAAGACACACATACAAAAATATCTAATTGACCAAATTTTACATATTTTTTTAACTTTCCAAGACATTTATCTATCAGAAACAAAAATTTTAACATAACTTATATATTATATACATATTATATATATTTATAAAATATACAATATTATAAAATATTTATAAAATAAATTAAAATTTTTTCTACATATAAATAATCTATTATTTAAAAAAAAGTAGAAACTGGAAATTAAATATCTTTCAAATTTAAATGACTGGAATGTCAAGGTTTGCTTACAATTTGCTCGCAATTTATCATCAAACTTGCCTGTGCAGATCTTGGTTGATTTTTGACAATTTGACATCAAACATATTAGTAAGCTTTGCTCGGATTATTTTACCATCAATTTATTGTCAGGTTTTGTCAGCAAGGGTTACCAACGAAACACGAGCTTATTACAGACATAGTTGATGCCAATTTGCTATCATGTTTTGAATTTGTCATTAATTTGCTGGTAATTTGCGTGCAAATTGCTTATGTCATGTATATTCTAAATCTCTCTCTTTTCAGATTTCTCGTTCTTATTTATTTCAAATGATAAAATATTGTAAATTGAATTTTTGTCCAAATTCTACTTGTTCCATTAATTACATTCTAAGGATACGTTACTTACGCTTTGGGACGTAATCCAAGTATATATTTATTATAACTTGAATAAAGTCAATTATATTATCAAATTAAAACAAAAATTATTTTATTTTTTTCATGATATAAGCCCGTCTTTTTTCATATAATTATTAAATTTACAAATTACTAATAATTTTCACAAACAATAAATTATTTTCACAAACAAATCTACAATGATAGTGGAAAAAATAATTTATAAACTTTATTAAATATTATATCATCACACTACTAGTGTTATCACACTATGCATATATTTTGGAATAATGATGAAAAAGATAGCACATTACATCTTTTGATACATGACAGTTAATAATACCAGTGCAATATTCATAATTTTCTAATATTATCTCTATATGTATATTTATCATTCAAATTATTTCATTATACATAAATAATTTGCTGTTTTACATAAAAACAGTTCTGATTCATGTTATAACACTTTATTAGAAAGTTTCTAAAAACTAATGATACATAAATTATGACTTATCTTCCTTGCACAATTCTTGTGATTATGATTCTAAATATAAATTGATAAATAATAATTATTTTATAAATGCTTAAGCAATTTTACACATTTACATATTTCACTTTAAGCTCTGTTGCTTGGTGTCTGTGCATACTGAAATAAACATAACAAAATTGTTTTTCCATCAAATATTTTTTTTTGTGTTGTCTAATATATGAAATTCAATGATCTCCTAAGAGATGACACATATTTGAAAATTTAAGTTATCTTGTCGTAAAAATTACAAAAAACTTAACATATTAAAGATTAACATATTAAAGATAGCATTTATGTCATTAATCAATGAATGACTTAGAATAAAACTCTAGATTCAAAATTGTTATTTACAATATTTATTGATACAATTATAGTCAAATTTGACAAAATTCCTGTCAAAACATAATGTTTCTACGATACTGTCCCAACATCATATAGATGCATTCCATGTTCTTGTTTATAGTTTTATCCTTACACATCAATCCTAAGACGGAATTTTCTTCATTTTCTATTCTGCCATATAACTACTTTATTATGCTGCATCATATTTTCGATTATTAACTCTGATGCTTAAATTACTCAATATTTTAATTGAGATAACACAATGGATATCATATGCATACAAAATACATAAAGATATTATTAAAAAGAAAGTATATATGCACAAAGGTGAAAATTACACTCGATGGTTTCAGTTTTAATAGTTGCAGACGGTTTAGCAGTTGTTGCTAACATATACATCTCTCCTATTACCTCTATTTAAAAGATGATAGGTAAGAATGACAAGAGGTATGGAGGGCAACTGCAGAAGGCAGTAAAATGTCAATATGACAATCAACAGGACAGTATGATAGTCAAGTGTCAATATGACAGTCTTTTGAACACCATGAGGTCATGGGAACGTTCTGTAGTTT